ATCGCGGCCGCGGCCGGATGAGGAGGACTTTTTTTCGCCAGGAAAAATAAAACCTGCACCGACATGAGGCGGAGTAATAACCGCTGCGGTCGTTAAGGGAACTCCAGACTCTTAGTCATGTATGTGGCACGTTAATTTTCTCCCAAGTTTGCAAACGCTTTTAATAGCACCACGCCACTCAACATACAGTTGCCGCTCGTTAAAAAGTTTCCGCCGCAGAATCTAAGAATGTTCCGTACGAATGAAATCATATGAGCCCTCGTGTAACATTCACTTACGAGTGTAACATTAATTTGGTTGTATTTACATACTGAAAGAGTAACAACTTTTGGTTATTTAATATAATGTCTCCGCTCTGACCTAGGGAGTAGTGACCAAATCGTTGCTCTTCTGACTGGAGGGCCTATCTATATCAGTACGTGATCCCCGTTCTCCGTAAAATTTCATGAGTTTTGGGGATCATGTATAATTTGAGATACACCTCTGCGTCGAAAAAGCGACGAAGAATGGCTTTCGGAGTTAAATTAAAAAAGAGAATGTTATTTACATGGCGAGTAAACATTTTTTTTATTCTAGGAAAAACGTATTATGTAGATGTACTTTTCGCTGGGCAGTATAAATTTGATGTTTGCTGGCAGTTTTTCTGAAATATTTTGTTGTCCAGAGCTCTCTTGTGACATCATTCAACGCAGATAATCAAAAGAGAGTTTGAACTTACTACGACTACTAGTTAGGTACTTCCTTCGAAACCCTTGCTCTGTCAATGGTTTTTTTATGATTATTCGACATTTTGTTGAACAGACTCTTTTTCTATGATCAACTTATTATAATCTCGTGTTTAATGTATTGATACAAATTACAGCGGAGATGATCCTTAATTGTGTGTTACCAAAAATAAGAAAAAAATCTCAGACAGCTGTGTGCACAAAATTGTACTTACAAAAAATAAGTTGGGTTGTAAAATATGGGTGAAACGTGCTTTAAGTGCTGCTCCGACTGCACATTGCAGTGACTACAAAATCTGAAAGCATTCATGAATAATGATGATAATTGTCACTTGCTCTGTTCAGAGACATGAATTGAAAGCAAGATCATGTCATTGTTGAGTGGGTAAAACGATAAATTTGCGTAAACCAAACGAAGTAGTATTTGATATTCTAAGGGTATACAATTTAATTAACTGGGTAAATTCTTCATACAAAATAAATCAAAATGACCATAAAAGCCGTTCTATTCGAATGGATCTAAAGTTAAACAAAGTTATTTATCAATCGGATTCTCAGGAAATTACAGAATACTTCTCCTTTCCTCCACCTCTCTCTATCCGCAGCTTCCTCCCCCTGTCTCCACCTATCTCTTCCTCTCCCGCCCTTTCTTGTCTCCTTCCTTACCTTCTCCCACATTCCCGCCCTCATTACAATTCATTTGAAAAGCTGACGCAACCTTTTTCTTCAGTTTTCTCATAAAATCTACTTCCATAAAAACGTTCTCAGGGAATATATTAGAATACGGTCATCCATAATAAGCGTATAAATCAAAGCTACAACTGCTCTTCCTAAACGCAGGTATTATTTATTACACGTGAAAGCCAAGGACGAGAGCGGGACAGAGACCTAAGCGCCGCTTCAGCAAACAAAAGGCAAAGTTGTGTAAATCAAAACCGCAACCTTCCTTAGTCTTTTCTGTTCGCTACTTACCGAAAGCTTCGGAGGAATATAAATCGCGGGTATGCGGGTCATCTCTTTTTTTATTCGAGAATAAACAGACCCAACAATGTGTTCACAGATTTACATAAATACATCGTTTTGCCAAACGTTTTTGTATGCGCTGCAGTTTAATTTTTAAAGATGCCGGGGAGACAAAAGAATCTCGGGGCGGTTCGTGGCCTTACTCCTCGATTCTCAGCGTCATACTCTCACGATGGAACTTTAATAAATTCGCCTGATAAAACACAGAATATGTTCTAAATTAGTGGCTTAGCATGGCAACCGTCTTGGACAGACTCCCTGGTCTGTTTGACTGGCCTGTTCAGTCGTAAAATGGGTAATGGAGAGCGCTCGAATGTTGCAGGCGCGGAGCCACAGGAAGGAAAGCAAAAGCACAACTTCCTGAGCTTTCGTCATAAATTTTGCAAGAGATGCGAGCTCGAATGAGACTTTCTCTCATTCGTATGGATCTGCTCGGCCTGACATTCAAATGCGAGCACATGCAAACAAAGGAGGTCGCATTATTTTATTTTGAAAACATGTAATGTCGGTTGAAGAAAGTTTGAAAGACCGCCGCTTGAGGATGTCAGCGAAATTAAAAGCCGGTATTTTTACATTTTCTTAAGCGCGCTAATTAATATCAACGCTAGCTTCTGTAGCATGATTCCGAGAAGGTATATTAAATAAATGTAAAAAGCTTTTTGGAGCCTTTTCTACGCCGTAACTTACATTATGATCTTTCAAAACTCAAACTTACGGATGTAAATGAAAGAGTCCCCTTATAATTGAGCAAGTTTTTCGCTTGCTTCAAATAATCTGAAAATTCTAACTTGGTTTTCCTTTAAAATATATTGTTGATTCAAATAAAGGCTAGCTAAGAATAGCTATTGCATCACGAGTAAATAGGTACATGATATTATTTTCGCATTCTGGATCTGTATTTTTAAGCCTTCAAATTTAAAGGGCTATAACGGTCTTTGCTTTTTAAAAAAATATCAAGTGCAATGTTATGCTGCAACCCTAAAAAGTAATGATCTAATCTTCTTCTTCTTTTTGTTAAAAAAAAAAAAACTGATACAACGCGAAATATAATATTTTTTCATCGTAATCTAAGAGGAATTTGGCTCAGGAAATATAGACTTGCCGAAAGCTAGTAAGTCCTAGTTTTCCGTAGATTAGTTTAGAAGATTACTTCTTTCACTTAATTTATACTGGATCTTCAGTATAAACACAAAATTTAGGTATCAGACAATCTTAAGATTTGAAATTATAGGGTGTTCGGCCACATATAATGAGAACAAATACTGAGGTATCAGCCGATTTTCTCTTCAAAAATACACAAACATTCTCTTACACATTGTTTTTTATTAGAACATGACCTGAGTTTGCATATTTTTGAAGAGTAAATCACCTAGCAGCTCAGTATGTGTTGCCTTAAAATTCAATACTGGATTTGTAACAAATTTAAGCGATTCTTAAAACGCCCTCATTTGATCGAATACTTCACGCATATCCGTAAAGTTAAAATAATTGTATTCTCCAGACTGCTAATTTCTGCTGGGAATAAGTGACACTAAATCATATTCCGTCACCTGGGGCTAGTAGTACGGTATCAATATGCTTTAGATTTTTGATTTGGTACAAGCTTATTAGTTTTCCTTCATTTGAAAGATAGGTGTCTTTGGTAAATACTTGGTTTCATTTTTATCCTTGAAATTTCCGATATAAAATATGCCTTACATGCACATTTTTTTAATGAAATCAGTTACTTCATTTTAAAAACATTCAATACGTGGTAAATATTTGTAAAACCTTTTCCAAGCAATGGCATCGATATGAATCTCAATGAGCCATAGTTGCGTGATGAAAGAAACTGTACAAAAATTAATCAAAGAGGAAAAAACTAAGAAGCACGCAATTTTTTGTTTTTAACTTATTTGCACATCGACCCTCTTGAGTCAAATACGTCCAATTTTGAGCGTTTGTATGCGCTTACACCACGCTGCAGCACAGTAAAAGCCCAAAACATAAAAGAATACATTTGAATGCTTTGGAAATCATTAAATTTGACACGGGACGACTATTATATTTACAAAAAACACATTATATTTTCCAGTAGTGCATATTTCTTTTGCATCAGTTTAAAAGGGAATAATCAATGCAGAGAGTGCAAACATTTCAAAATCATGAGTTGAAAAACGCTGACTCCGCGAGTTTAAATATTAGAGCCTAACACAGAGCGGAGCGGCGTGTTCGCAGCGCAGAACGCGCACTGGCGCCTACAAACCTAACGGGATACTTCACGCATTGCGCAACGCGCGAAGTATCCCGTTAGGTTTGTAGGCGCCAGTGCGCGTTCTGCGCTAGTTGCCTGTCACGCCGCAACGCTTTACGCAACTATTTCGCGTCAGAGGCGTTGCACAGTATCCTACAAGATTGAAGGCGCCTGAAATAACTAGTTAAAGAGGACTTTCAATTTTGACAGCATCTGTTACTGAAAAATGTTTAATTTGGCATTGGAGGTTTTCCTAGGCTCCCGCTTTGGTTTTCATCTTATCATATCCGTACAGTGTACACATGAACATATCGACGGTGAAAGTACCAAACCACGTATCTCGTTTGCGGTGTTTAAAAATCTACGCTCACATTTTATTTTTTTGAAGTAGACCAAATCAATATCGTTCCTTGAAATTTTCACAGAATTTTCTTCGCACGAAGAGGAAAAATCACAGAAATTTTCAAGACTGGACGTTAAGTAGTTTTTCATTTAAAAAATAAAGTATGACAGGAAGTCTGCGACGTCGCAAACCGAGATACGTGGTTTGGTAGTTTCACCGTCGATATGCTTTTATCTGCTCTTAAAGTCTGTTCTCTTTCATGACTTGATTCATGAATGAAATTTTTTTAAGAATGAAGGTAGTAGTAATATGCATTTATTTCTGTGTCAAAATATTTGTCTTATTTTTTAAACGTGATACTTCGGCAGCTTTAATCTCAGCCTAATAGTTCTCAGTTCTGGAGAAGAAGATGATTAGATGTGTGATTCAAAGAAGCAAAGTTACTATCAAGAAAATCAGAGATAACATATTTTTCTGATTTGACACGAAACTTCACTTTTAAAAATATGAAAATGTTATCGTTTGCAATTCAGCAGTGAAGTTATTGTTCCAGCTTTTAAAGCGTGCAACCAATAGTTTTTTTTCACGTAAGTATCTCTGCCAGAGTATATTTTTTGACGCCGCGCGCCGTATTGATTTTAAGACCACTAAATATTTCAATTTTCGTTTGTTCCAGGCGGGGTATCAAAATGGACCATCTGCAAATTTTAGATGGACTCTTAAAAAAAGATTATGATAGAAGAGCGACGCCGACAAACCATCTAAGTAAGTATTGAAAAGTTATTTGTTTGAATTCTGTATCATACGGTCACAATTAAGGATGTGTAAATATTGCAGTTTCAAAGTTAGAAAGTCAGCGTTTCGCTCCTCTTAAAACGTTCAAGAAGTAAAAAGCAAGCTATCTGAATGAAATTCCATATTGAACCCAATGCACTTTCCCGAAAATTCTGTGAACCAACTAACAAGCAGTCCAGTTATTTGCGAACAAGTTTGCTGAATAGAGTCCAAATATCTTGGCGATAAATCGACGGAGAGCTGAAGTTGCAAATTGTGGAGATGAGTGGGGTCCTGTTCGTGAAAAGGGAACCGCAAGGGAAATATGTAGCCGACCGAAACAAACAGGAAAGACGCGTCGTCGCATCAGGTATGGAGTGTGGCATTCATCCCGGCGCGGCGCTGGAGGAAATAATTTCTAAAGGAGCGGAAAGTTGGGCGAGACTGTCATCGCGCGAGAAAAATTATCCGCGGAAACTTTCAAACGGCCGCGAACGCCGCGCCGCGCCGCGTCGTAAAAGTTTCGGTTTTTATCGCCTCCCATCCGCCCGCCACCGCGCGAATTCAACGGATCCTTGCCAAACTGCTCGATAAACCGCCAACTTTCGATGACTGACGTTCGATAACAAGTCCCGCAGGGAGGTAGGACGTTATCAGTGGATACTATCTGAAAGTTCAAATTCCTGAGAGCGCAAAAACGGTAGGCAATAAGCGGAAAAACGATAGGCAATAAGCGCAAAAATGCATAAACCAACAGCGCAAAATTAAACACACTGAAACTAAAGTTTGGTCGTATGTACCAAAGTTCGGTGTCCCATAGCATCCCAACTAATTCGGTTCGTCAAACCGAAATTTTGGTCCGCGTAATCCAACTTATGCGGTAAAGTGAACTGACGAACTAAGTTTGGTCATATATGACAAACTTTCGGTTACACGAACCAAAAGTTCAGTTTGCCAAACCGAATATTTGGGATGACATGGAACACTGAAAGTTCGGTTCACAGGACCAATTTTTTTCCAGTTTACAAGTATTCGACCAAAACCGCAAACGCGGAAACCAACCTAACCTAACCTAACCTTGAGATAGGTTAGGTTAGGCCAGATAATGACCACTTGAATCCCTCTCTGTCGCCCCAAAATAATACTACCATTTGCGCAAACTTGCCACCCTCCTAAAACAGCTGTCCTTAAATTACGTAACGCCCCAAAGGAGGATGGAGTTTTTGCCAGCGTTACGTGGCGTTACAAAAGGGTGGGGGTGTAGAGCAAAGCATTCCGCAACGAGTTTGAGTGATGAAATAATCATCAAAACACGATTCTATGACCTGCGCAACTGACCCATTGCCTTATTTCTTAAAGGGCTGTGTTCAGTTCCTCGTTAAAGTTGAAGCGTTAAGCAAGTGGTCTTATAAAACGAAAATCCAAGCTAAATAATTGGTTATTATTTTAGCAATATGTCAACACTCTCTCACTCTCGTCCAGTTTTCGTCTCAATACTTCCCTTTTCATTCAGTTTGACCTCCCTCTCGGGGAAATTAATCAATTACCTGTTAGGTTGCTCCTGAATTTTGCGCTATGCTCAGATCAGAACTCATTCCTCCGCATAGAGCATTTAAGTGCGATGGGGATTGAAACGTGAAACGACTCAGAAAATTTTCTCGCTTTATATATTTTCCCTCCAGGTGTTTCCATGAGAAAAATAATACTTTGAAAGCTATAACTATGAAGCGCGCCGCACCCTGCATATAAATATTGACAACATTGCAAAAATATTGCCCGAGATATTACGACCATATTTACTTTATCGCCTATATTGATTACATCTTAGCAATATTTGCCACAAAATTTTGATACGCAATGTTGCTACCGCAGACAATTTCGCGTTTCTCAAGCAAGATTCGGCATGCTCTTGGTTCAAACTCTTTACGTTGGTATATTTTCTGCGTTATTGAAAGACCGGAAGGAAGTCATATCGTGTCAGAAAATTCAAACAAGAAAGAAAAACAGAATAATTTTTGCCCTAAATAGTAGTAAGAAGGAGGTAGAAAAGTGCCGGGAGTTGATGCTAACGTTCGATTGCACGAATTCAACGTTCGGTAACAAGAACTGAATATTTGGTTAAACGAACCGAACGCCCAGCTGCACGAATCGAATCATTCAATCAACAACAAGTAATCCAATGTTGCTAAGATCATGCAACTTTTTTTTACCTTGCAAATATAAACTGATCATCACAACAAGTTTTATCTTTACCCTCAATCAACTAAAAATTCAATATGAAAATTACCTTTTTTAATTTAAGTTTAGCATGATTTCAGTGCTTTTCTTGCAAAGAATGTAAGTTGCACAATCTTAGCAACATTGGAATGCCCTTGTTTCCTTTTTGCAAAGTGCAATCCAAAATTCCAATAGGCCCATTTAAAAAGGTAGTCCAGTTCATCTATGATGAGACTTCCTTAGTACATATCTGAGCACTTTCAAACGTGAGGGGTGGAGGAAACGGTGTCGTCCAGTATGAAGCGACGAGTGGGCAGCATATGAATCTGGACGAGACGAACTCTTCTTTGGGCGAGTTCTGGATCTGGACCCGGGTCTAATTATGAGCACCGAAACGGGGAACGGGGAACGGGGAACGGGGAACGGGTTCCAAGGTATCACGGACCGCGGCCGCGGGACCGCCCCCCTCATTTCCGAGGGTTTCGGCTAATCACCCTCTCAGAGTGTCCTTTTGTCCGCATCCCTGCCGATGTTGTCACTTGGTCATCCCCCTGTTTTGCCCACTTTTATCAAGCTCCACACCCTCGGTCATGGGATGCCCATCACCTACACAAAGAAAAACGCCGTATGAGCACTTAAATGTTGTCTAATTTCCAGTTATAGCGTAGTTATTTTGAGAAAAGATATGAATGTTTGGACCGAGTTTATCAGAAAGGAACCAACCCACATTTTGGAAAAAAATGTTAAGAATGTTTTTGAGTTCCACTAGCTGTATATTTTATCCTGCCAAAAACTGGAAGTTGAAAAACAGAAATTAGTTGGTGAAAAGAGGGGTTGAAGGTCATATCTGCATTGAGCCTTATGCAGGAATACAACTTCAAACCTCTTTTTCTCAGTTTCAACTTAATGTATGGGTTGGTTCCTTTCTGATGAACTCGGTCCGTATTTATCCTTGAGAATGTGAGATAATTTATAATTCTTAGTGTCTAGGACCGGGAGTAATCTGAAAACCCTGGGATTCATCAGGGAATGAAAAATACCAAGAAAAATCAGAGTAAAATCTGGAAATCCGTTCTAGCAACCGGGAATCTTTTCTTCTACTGCTTTAAGACCATTGTTTTACAATTTTTTCGACGATTTTAAGTGCTTACACCGAACAAAAAATTGCTGTAATAACATCCCAGATGTTAAAAATATTTGCAACAGCTCTTGAATGTAAGTGTCCTGGTGGTATCAGGATGCTACTTCAACAGCCAGAGTGTTAATAACAACAGTCAAGAGTTGTCGCACATATCGTTCAACATCCGCAATGTTACTGCAGCAACTTTTTTTTCGGTGTACGTGTTGTTATTGAGCGATTTATGTTTTTGCATTTGAGTCGCCATCACTGACCTATGACATTTTTGAGTTGTCAAAGCATTATTATAATAGAAAAGCTTATACCGGCATCTGACCAGCAGCAGACGACACAATGAGGTCTATCCTCTCAAATGCGCGGAAGATTCGGCTGAAAAATGAAACAAATTCTATGTTCGTATTTGGAACTCCGGAAACCCTTCGGAGTTCCCCGGGATTTTCTTGGGGGAAAACTTTATAACCAAGTTTTCCCCCCAAGAAAATCCCGGGGAAAGGGAAGAAAACTTCACTTTCTCATCAAGGAAATGGGCTTTTAAATATCAGGAAAAAATCAGGGAATGAGCATGTTGAAGGATTCCAGACACCATCATGCGTTTAGATTAAATTGTGAAATATATTCAATAAAAAATTGAGGGGAAAATATTTACAAGTTTCCGAAGAAATTAGTGTTTTTATCAACAGAAATTTGGCAGCATCCGAGGCCTCATAAGGCGTTTTTCATCAGGGCAAAACAGGAACGTCGATCATGTGTGGAGGAAGGGAGCTCGAACCGCAGCCCTCCCTCGATTTTCGTGCTATGTCAAGAACATACCTGTGAAAGACCATAAGTAATGGTTTAATTGCGCCAGCCACCAAGTGACGTTTTATGTTTTAAGCTTTTAGATCAGCAAAATAATAATATGATCCGTCCATACGACTATCTCTTACGTTAAATATTAAAAAAAGGTATCGCCCCTCAAAAAATACGATGTATGACGTCATCCACCGCCTTAGTACTCATCATTTCACCTTGGATACATCAATTATTGAACTTCAATTATTGAACTTGCAATAGGGAACTATACAATTTTTGACTGAGCTGTAAAAAAAATTATGCAAATAGAGAACTTAATGATACATATGTTGTTTCTAAACCGAGCCAGGAATTTTAGTTACGAATTGCAAAATGTAGCGCACTTAGTGATACACACTTATGCACTCGTTGCTCGACCTTAAGCCCGGATTAAACCAAAGTAAATGAAACCAAATTAGATGAAACTCTGGTGTGCTTCACCGTAGTGAATGACGTCATGCGCCGCGTTTTATGAATGGAAATATCTCCACTAATATTGGACGTAGAAACTTGAGCTTGGACGGGTCATCTGATTATTACTGATCTTTTTCGTACCGTGTTTTATGAATGGAAATATCTCTACTAATATTGGACGTAGAAACTTTAGCTTGGACGGGCCATCTGATTATTACTGATCTATAATTTGAAGTCATCACAGATGCAAGAGATCCATTGCTAAGTCATATCACATCCGAGTATAAAATTGAATCGTTTGAGTGAATGTTGCATCCTTGGAATGAAGTCACGTTCCTGAGAAGTTTTTACGTCTGAGGAACGTCGATATGTGACCATCATGATAACCTCC